GGGAAGGGGTGAGAACGCGGGGATGCGGAGGGACGATGGGGCAACGCGGCGCGCCTCGGATATCCTCGCTTCTCTTCGCCTCTCCTCTCTCCTCTCTCCTTTTCTCTCGCACGCCTTTTCCGCTTGTTTTTCCGCGCTCTCCCCTTTGTTTTATATATCAAATTTTATATTCCTGGGCTTAATCTTATTTTATTCCGCGTAAAATTATTTATATTATTCCGCGCAGCTCCACGTGAAGCGTGGGACTTCCGTGTTTCTCCTTGTCATTTGCGTTCACGTATCGTTCACTCAATTTTTTTCGTTTTATATGTCTGCTGCTCTTTGATATTTTTTCTTGTTTATTACTTTTAAAGAATTTGATTCTTCAACGGATTTTCCTCCGTTACGCATTCTTTATTTCTTCCTCACTCGCGAAATCTGATGCGGTTCTAAACATGATGCGATAGCGCAAGAGTTGCAGAGATGAAAAAAATTTTTACGACGGAAAAATTCTGGACCGTTGCCTATGATACTTTCAAAGCAAAAGGATTCAATTAAGCACGATGGATCTTTTTATACGCTCTATGCAACGCTGAATAAATTTGCAGAATGCGTGACGTTCATACGCATCCTCTATGTGCGCGCGAACAAGCATGCGACTGTTTTGCATATTATTATTTTTGCGTGCGTGAAATTCGATCATGAACGAACAGCGCGATATCGCAAAAGCGGAATTAACGCACGGCGACAATGTTACCCGCGCAGAAAATCATCGAGCAATTCGTGGATCGCTGACAACGATCGTTGTACTCGATGCCGCCATGATTGACGATCCTTCTTCCTCTTTCACCCTCGCTATGCATAACAATATCGATAATTAATCGTCGACGTAAACGTTAATTAAATACATGACAGACACAGAAAGCGGAAAATGAGACCAAGTTGGCGCGATTGTGACGAATTCAATAGCGGTTGTTAGCTGCTCGAGAGAGCATAACGCCGACGCACTTCCGTAATTTTTTCGTAATTATCCGTAACGATGTCGCGCGGCGACTGACGAAAAAGCGACGAGGCAGTAATCAGAGAGCGATCGAAATCGGATTATCGGCATCCGATCAATCGACAATCACGTACGACTATGGTCGTCCGCGCCGTGTATACATTGCGCATTGCACGTGTTGACACGAATCCGACGGATAGCGGATAGATCGCTAATTTCGCTCCGTGATTCGCGTCTCGAGTCCGAGCATAAATAAACAATGTCCGACTGGGCGACTAGGATAATGAGTTAACCGTCCCGCAATAAGCTATATTAATTCTAAATAATAGTAACTCATCTCCTTTAAACAATCTGAACATGTCTTACGATATATTTGATATTATTTGTCTTGTCGCAATTGTGCTATTAAGCAATTAATTTTATACTCCCGAATACTGACATGTATATATTAAATTTCATTTGAATTGCATACAATTAAAATCATATTTACATTCCGAATAAAATTTTTTTACAATTATATTATTGCTTATATAAAAAATTGTTGTGTAGACGTTTGGAAATGTAGAATATTTATATTGTTAGAAGAAAAGAAATTTATTATAGGCAAGCCAATTATAGGCATATTAGATAAACGACAAGTTCTCTAATAATGTACTCGGGAGAGAAAACGTCAAGCGGAAATGATTCTGGTCGTTTGTTTCCGTTTCAAATATTAAAGCGTCCAATTAGTCAAATGGTAACGCGAACTTGCGAAACCGCCGTCTACTCGGCCAGTGCATTAAGCTTTGTCCGCATACTACAAACATTGCGGTTGCGAGCATAAAACCAAAGAATAGAACGAGCAGCGACACTACATAAACAGTCGGACTCTACATAAACAGGATGCATCAGAAATTCCATATAGTTTCCTCGAAAAAGAGCTATAGATATGAATCAAAAATTGAAAATAATAGCGGCTATTTTGCATTGCCAAACATTAAAAATTAAAGTTTTTGTAGAGCAGAGTGTATCATGAATGAAGATAAATTAATAATAAAATTGTATTCTCTTACATAATTTTCTTTTTTCCTTTGCAACTAGTTTTAAGCTTTATCAAAATTTAAAATAATAATTGAGAAATATTATGACGTCTAGAATCTCAAAAAAAACTTGTCAAGAGATATTATGTGAAAAGTTAATCAGATCGGACATGATAACAAATTTACAAGGGAATGCCGTGTGATTTTTGAGGGCACTCTGCGTTCCGGAATATACACGAGACGACACCCGATCTCACAGAAAATCAAAACTCGTCGTGTATGTTTGCCAGGGGTAAATGCATGTCGTCCGTTTCCGCTGGAGACGCTAATTCACGTCGTCGTGTGCTAGAGAAGCCATAATAATATCCGAGGAGAATAGAAAAGAGAAATGAAACGTTATATGAAATCTGTAACTGTGAATTAGAATAGATGACGAATTTTGTGGCCAGAAAAGCAAATAGTTCCATCTTTCCTCCGCGATTACTCGTTATTCGATAAACACAAGGTTCTCTGTAATAATCTCTTTTCGAGTAAATCGTAGTGAAATATTTTTGTACGAATTATTCTGTCGAGTTTTATCGTAATAAATGCTCATTAAACATTAATCTGACATTTTCGTAGACGATATGTATGATATCCGTCACTCGTTTTTACTTGTGTATGCATGTCGGACTCTACTCAACTATTTCCACTAGCTGTGTCATCTTGTCGCGAAAGAGAAAGTTTCTAAGTAGAACATCAATTTTGTCGGAAAGAATATGTGGTTAAATATAAATAAAGAGGAATCTGGGGCATTCTGGGATAGGCCGCGAAAAAGTTAGGTAGTGCTTTCTAAGTGCTTTCCTTGGAGTACTAAAATATCAAAAGTTCGGATAGTCGAAGGAATCGGAAAATAAATGACAACGAATCTGATATGTGTCTCTCTTTTTCTTTTTTTGCCCATATAAACGGCACGTGTAAAATAAAAGTTTGTATCTCCTTTTTCCTGAGAAAGTGAAATAAAGTGCGATGCTTTGTGAGACGCGTAAGCTCAGCACGCGTTGCGATATTGAAAGTTTGTGAATTACATGTTGCTGCCTGCCGATTCGTGCGGATATAATCAACCAACGAGGCGAGAAAAACGCGCGATAGTAACTTCACGATAGGGACGATCGATCCTGAATAACTTAAGGATCCCTGAGGAATTCTTCACGTCGATGGAAAGAGCGCGAGCAATAGCCCCGCGTCGAAGTTTTGTCTGCAACTTCAAAAGACTTCGCGCCAACATCAATCGAGCGTTGCAAAGTGAAGCTTCACAAGCGCTACTTTCTTATCGTTGTGAGAGAATCATTTCTCTTTTTTTCTTCTCTTTGGATTTTTTAGCGATAATTTTGCGCGTCCTCGGCTTTTGACTGAAAATCTGCCTCAATCATGATAATTGGAAGGATCGCATTAGGCTTCTCATTACGTTTACATGTCTAACATTAATTATAGAATCGCACATTTAATTGCCCGTCCGGTTGTTTTATCGTTAATTTAATCGTTTAATATGATCGTTCACGCGCGCGCGCGCACGCGTGCACATGTGCATCCGTTGGCCAATGCGGCGTGTAAATCGCTGAAAATTTGTAAATACCACGTTCAATTACGCGCATCAATTATTTCCTAATCAAATGGCCGCGTAAATAATATATACAAATAATAATGCGCGCACATACGATTTTAATGCGGATTAAAACGCGTCAGTAATGGCCGGAAATAACTGGTCGGCGATATTATTCGATAGAAATATTCATTAACGATGCCGCTAATGAAAAGCTAATTAGCAACTATTTGTGCGCGGAGACGATTTACAATGCCACGAAAAACGAAGCTGTCGCGCAAGCCCAATTTTTATGTATTCCATATTTAATTCCATGTGCTTTTCGACAAGTTTCTGTTAATTCATAATAGCCAATTACGCGTCGTAGTATAAAATATATAGAGATACGCTTTCGGATTAATTCAATATATTTTGCAAAAGAAAAGTTATTTTTTTTTATATATAAATGATATAACGTCAGCATGTTAAATGTATCAATACTCGCAAAAGAAAATGCTTTGCGTTGATTAACAATTTGCATTGTGATATTGCGTACAATGCGTTCGATCATGTATCCATTGTGAATGTGGATTTTATTGAATGAACGATGAAAGACATAGCAAAAAGGAAGAGAGAGAGAGAGAGCAACGCATTTTTCGTTGTAAATTTTGCGAAGATTGAGAATTTGTAAATCGAATAGGTCATGCAGGAAATAACGGATTTCTGCCGTGATCCAAACGCAAATTTATAGCGACTCTTCAAAAGTGTATGGCTTCCGCTTTCAAAAGCGCATATCACTATGCATCTCACGGAAACGACGAGAAGAGCATTCGCGAGTCTTTCCATGTCGACTTTGCGTCTGGAAGACGGCTTCGAGAAATTACGAAAAAGTTCCGCGGCATCGATTTATATATACATATTTTGCGATTAATTTGCGAAATGGAATAAAATGATGCATATATTAATATCATTAATATAAAATCTGCAGAAATTATAAACTGCAAATTTATTATCGTATTTATCATTAAAATTAAATCTGATTTGACTATTTAGACAGTTGCTATTTGGAAATAAATTTCCAAGAAAATTATAATGCATTTCTTAATTTCAAATTTGCAAAAATAAACAATACAGATATTGTGTGAAATTAAATTAATGAGATAAATATTACAAAATTCAAATG